AAACAAACACACCCCGAGACACAGCGGGCTGACGTCATCCTACGTCACATCTATCTATCTATCTATCTATCGATCTATCCATCGATCTATCCATCTATCTATAGGCATGCAACCCATGTTTTTTATGATATGGATTGTCTGCACAGCTCTCCACTTAGAATATAATATTTGTCATATATTATTTTTCTGTATTCAGTTTCTTACATATTTATAAGGGAGGTGTGTGGCGCAGTGGGTTGTGCGTTGGTGTTGGGATCAGGGGAGCACAGGTTCAAACCCCACTGCAGTCAGCATGTCGTTGTGTCCCTGAGACACTTCACCCCAACGTGCTCCTGTGGGGATTGCCCACAGTATTGAGTATGTAAGCTTTGGATAAAAGCGACTAACAAGAGACATGCATTAATGTGATGTTATATTTTGTGTAAATATTGTATTTCTTTCTGTGTCTTTGTTTGAACCTTTTACACCAAGGCTGATTCCTTGCTAACTTATGAGGTCCATGCCTGTTGTCAAGCATTAAACATGATTTTAAAATATTGATAAGAAAGAACAAGATACGAATATAATTAAACAAAACATTTTGACTTTTTTCTCGGATTTTGATTTTTTTCTCAGAATTTCACTTTTATCTAAGAATTTTATTGTTTTTTAAGATTTCAACTTTTCTTCAACATTTCACTTTTTTCAGACGGGTTATTTTTTCTGATAATTTGAAATGTTTTCCTAAAATCCAGAATTTGACTTTATTCAAAGAATTAGATTTTTCTTCAGATCTTTTTTCAGATTTTTTTTCAGAATTTGACTTGTTTCACATTTTTGAGGATTTTGTCTCAGAATTTCCCTTTTTTTATTATTACCCTTTTTTTCAATACGCTTTTTTTTGTGCAGAATTTTCAAATTGTTCCCCTTTTTTTCTAATAATTTCACTTATTTTTCTAATAATTCGACTTTTCTCAAAATTAGATTTTTTTCTCAGATTTTGAATAAAGAGACCCATAAACCCAGGGTGAAAAGATAACATGTTTACCCCGCTAAAGTGTTAAAAACATGGGTATATTAGTGCTCAAACTCGATTAAACTGTTTTAATTCAAATATTTACAGACATCACAGGTCCATAAAACTTGGTATATTTACACTTTGTACCCGTTGGAACACACACACGAAGTTTGGGGGTTGTGCGCCCTTGTTTACCATATTAACCTATTCATCATCCATAATAGCATGTTTTTCATACTTAACAGCATTTTTACACATTTTATAAATTAGTCTAGAGCTCCATCTATTGGAATTTTAGTGTTTTACACGTCTGTCCATGGAACACGAGTTTTACGCAATTTGAGTGGAGTAAACTGATAGAAGAAGAAGAAGATACACTTTATTAATCCCTTACAGGGAAATTTCTTTCCCCACTCTGTTGTGTTTACACACATTACACACACAGGGGAGGATATACATGCACACACACACAACCACATGCAGATAGGAGAGGTGGCAGAGCAGAGAGGCTGCCAGGTACCCGGCACCAAGGGAGCAGTTTCGAGGTTAGGTGCCTTGCTCAAGGGCACCTCGGCAGTGGCTTTGGAGGTGAACTGGCACCTCTCCAGTTACCAGCTCACTCCATCTTTTTTTGGTCCAATCGGGACGTGAACCGGCGACCCTTCGGTTCCAAGACCAAGTCCCTACAGACTAAGCCACTGCCGCTGGAGTACTACCACTTTGAGCCTGTATCCCTCTCTTCTCTCTCGGATGTAGTCAAGCACCTGCGGCCGACACACTGCACCTCAGACAGCATTCCCTCTCGCCTTCTCAGAGATGTTTTAGGATCAGTTGGAGCGAGTGTTTTATTACTTTTAAACACCTCTCTTACCTCAGGATGTGTCCCAGCTGCCTTCAAACATGCCGTGGTTAAGCCACTACTTAAAAAGAAAAATCTTGACCCCTCCATTCTCGCAAATTTTAGGCCCATCTCCCAGCTACCTTTTTTATCAAAAGCCCTGGAGCGAGTAGTCTACGCCCAGCTGCAGTCTTTTTTAACCATGCATGGAATCCATGAAAAGTTCCAGTCTGGCTTCAAACCCATGCACAGCACTGAAACAGCCCTTTGAAGAGTTTTTAATGATCTGCTCCTAGCCGCCGACTCAGGTAGCCCAGCTGTCTTGGTGCTGTTAGACCTAACAGCTGCCTTCGACACTGTGGACCATAGCATCCTGCTGTCACGGCTTGAACAGTCCGCTGGCATCACAGGCTCTGCCCTTGCCTGAACCAGGTATGGACCAGGCCTCAATTAAACGCTTACAGCTAGTCCAAAACGCAGCTGCACGTCTACTCACTAGCCACAAAAAGCGTGACCACATCACCCCTATTCTGGCCTCACTGCACTGGCTTCCAGTTCGGTTCAGAATTGATTTTAAAATCCTTTTATTTGTTTTTAAAGCCCTAAATGGGCTGGCTCCGGCCTATATAGCTGAACTCCTCCAGCGCTACACCCCAGCCAGAGCTTTAAGGTCTGCTGACCAGCTGCTGCTGGTAGTGCCCAAGACCAGGCTCAAAACCAGAGGGCACCGAGCCTTCTCAGCAGCTGGCCCCTAGGCTCTGGAACACTCTGCCCCTCCATGTGAGGTCGGCCCAGACCCTAGGGGGTTTTAAATCTACTCTAAAAACTCATTTCTTCTCTCTGGCCTTCGAGCCTTTTCTTATCAAGCTCCACTTTTGTGGAATCAGCTTCCAGTTTGTGTTCGGGCGGCAGACAGCCTATCCGTTTTAAGAGTACGCTTAAGACCTTCCTTTTGATAAAGCTTATAGTTGATCAAATAATCAAATGAGAGTGCTTTGATACGCTGTGCCTCTTCACCTACATTTTGGTTCTTGCTCTTTCACTTAAATCCTAAAAACTTGGATCTTATATTTAAAACTAAGGTTATTACTACTCTTTCTATTTTCTCTTTATCCACAACCTTTTCCCTCTGTGACCTCACAAGGTTTTATTAGAGGGAAACAGGTTTGCAGAGGGGCTTATACCAGCCGGGGAGTGTTATGCCGTAGCCACAGCGTACCTCCTTACCTCTCACCAACTCCATCTAAGGCTCCAGTGGGACCTTGCTCCCTGCGTGTGCCTCTCTGTGTCTGTGTATTCTCTTGTTCAGATTAACCCAGCCTCCCCCCATATTTCTTTTTGTGTGTCTATATCTACGCCGGGATCCGGAGTGGAGGCTGATCCTCTTGCTGTGGTCCTGTGTCCTGGATCCTCTATCCTGAGTTCTGGATCAAGTCGTGGACTTCGGGTCGTGGCTGAACCTGTCTCTGTGGTCCTGCCTGGCTCTCGTCATGCTGCTTCCCTGATGGCTCCCACAGGATTGTTGACATCCTCGTGGATTCATCTTCTTATTACAGACACATGCATTTCCAAACATTCGGTCTACCTATACTGTAAAATGTATTCTCTCTTTGATTTACACACGGCATCTATTGCACGTCTGTCCGTCCTGGGAGAGAGATCCCTCCTCTGTTGCTCTCCCTGAGGTTTCTCCCATGTTCCTTTAAACTGTGGGTTTTCTCTCCGGAAGTGTTTCCTTGTACAATGTGAGGGTCTAAGGACAGAGGGTCTAAGGACAGAGGGTGTCGTTTTCTCATACTGATATTCTGAACAAACTGTGCTGTTGTATTTGCTGTGAAGTGTCCTTACTGTAAGGTCATTATTATATGTACAGCACTTTGGCTCGACCAAAAATCGTTTTAAAAATGTGCTATATAAATAAAACTTGATTTGATTTGATCAGTGAAAAATGCAGGGTGTGTCAGAACCGGTCTAAGAACTCTGATCATGTGACTGAGGTGTATTTATTATTTAACTCTTAATGCTCTGAACTAAAGTGCATGGATGAAGGGGGGCTCAGATCCAGCCATCCTCCTACACTGACCTGGTTTCACTGAAGAGCCTTCAGCTCAGCTCTCAGCTGTCCCACAGGACTCAACATCCTGTCTGCCTGTACTGTGTATCCTTCTTTATTTTTTAAAATGCATTGTAACAGTGTAATCCTGGTTATAATCCCCAGTTTTAAGAATGTTTACAGATTACAGTTACCTTTCTTTAAAATCTTAATTACGTAAATGTGGTGGAAATGTATCGAGACAAACTAACAAATAATAATAACATGGTGAGGAAACCTTTCCGTTGTACTGAAAAGAAGATTCTTGCAATAAGACGGTCTTTTAGGGAGTTTATTCTTTCAAGAAGGTAAATGGTCACCGAGTCAAGCAGTCTGCAGAGGGGGGTCTGCAGAGGGTCTGATGTTCACATGTTCACACCAAGAATACAAGAGGAGGGGCTGAGACAAACAGAAAGACAAACATACGTATATAGGATTATTTTAAACACACTTGATAGGAAATGGAGAAACATCATGTCTGTCCACAAAAGATAAGACCACTAACCTCACGACAATAAAGCTCTAACACCATGTACGACTCATTGAGGACATTTGCTGCTACCTGTTGTTAGAAATATCTTGTAAAAGAAGAACAGACGGTGAACTTGAAATGCTCCCTAAGCATGATACAATGTTCCATTACATCACGCCGTTACATTCTGTTACTCCCCAAGCCTTATTACACATCTGGTGTAGGTCTGATGCAAATATAATAGGGAGAACTCGAGCGAATGTTTTGGTTGAAACAAAAACCTTTTGGTGGACTATAAAACTCTTTGGCATGAAAAGTAATTCAGATGTTATATCAAATGTAAAAGTTCATTCACAATCAGCCTGGTCTACGGAAACAAATAAATGTCCATAAATCCAAACTGTATTATCAATTATGTTTTGATGAAAAACGAATGATTCTCTTAGTTTAGGTCTGATTTTGACTTATCAAAAATAAAACAAACGTTGCATAAGGAAAACGTAATTGTGATTAAAGTCTGTAACTGCATTTACATAACTAACTTCCATATTTTTATCCAAACTATGATCTTTTTTCTAAACATAACCGAGTAGTTGTGTAG